CCTGGTCAGTAAAACTATTGAAACTAAGGTTCATGTGAATTTAAAATCCCAGATCTTTTTTTTATGCATTTTGGAAAGTATCCCAACTTTTCTGAAAAAGGGAAACTAGTCGTCACAGTGTTGAAAGCTGTCTGAGGATGAACGCTGAACACGCTCAGTTACTGCTCTCGTTTCTGTGTGATGGAGGATCATTTTCTGTTGCTGCTGTGTTGCCTCTGTGTCTGTCGAGCTGCAAGAGAGAGAAGAAAACATGGAGATGATGGACGAGATGTGATCTGCGCTGATCAATTTGATCAACATGATAAGTTGAAATGCCCAAAATGCACTCACTAGTGTGACTCAGTTACATTTTGCACAATTCACCTTTGTACAAAGCCGAAGTATAAACACTGTGAGGGCGTGCTAGTTGTTGAAAATCAAATTATTTCTTGACTTATTTTCCAAATATTGAAATCTTCTTTGAGTTTCTAAACATTACTGATTATGATACAGAGTATTTTCAGACCCACAAACCACCTGCAGGTCAAACTATGTTCAACTTTTCTCCAGGAAGTGACAGTGATGCTGAGTATGATGATTAAACAGAGTATTCCAACCACAATATGAACAGCTGTTTCCCACAGGTAAGGATCAGCTGGAAGAGAAACAGACATGGTTTGTTTTACTTGGGAAGAAGGTGGTGTTGAAGTCACTGTAACTCAATTTCATTCATCTGTCGAGCTGAAAAACCTGTTCCTGAGGTTTCCTCTCCACTTTCTCAGACAAAATACTTTTTGCTGTGTTTTTATGAAGTTCATTTTGTTCATTCTGCTAACTTTAACACGATGCCGCCTTTCCTGACAGAGCATGCGCTGCTTGTCGCGCTGTTTTGATTCTACACTATTGTCCTTTGTCAGAAATGCAGGTGCGTTGTTCTAAAGAGTGTGGTAATATTTAAACATGAAGACGAGTTATCTTCTATTGTTCATTCGCCTCATGTATCTTATATTGTAATAAAGTTACATAATTGTTTTTGCATAACTGTGTAACATAAATGGAAAAGTGTATTTTAAAAACAAGGTAACAGGAAATCTGTGTAAATACATTTGGTTACTTTCTTTTTAAGAGGGACAAATTATGTTGTTTCATTTATTTAGTTTTAATGAACTTAAATCCACTATATGATCAATGTGTCGGTGTGTCAGTGTATTGTCCTAAGAAAAGTACATACTGTAATCCAAAAAGCAACGCAGGATTAATGCAGAAGTGGGATAAACCTGCTGTTCCTACAAACCCACAAGCTCTGAGAGATTCAGTTAAACAGGAGAGACAGAGTGACGTCTTCTTACTTCCCAGAAGTTGCAACAATGGATTCCTATATTTCAACTTTTTTTATTCTCTAAACGGAAACTTTGTGCTCTCAGATTATTTCATTCCAAAGCAGCTGTGATGTACCTGTTGATGAGAAAACAGAATTCAGTTTTGTTCCAGTTATCTAAACTTTTAAAGTTAGTTTTTGTTGATGTGCCATTTGCTCTCCTTTTTAAGCTCAATTAGGAAATCGTACTTTATTTAATTTAACACATTAAATTCCTCCCACCCAGTGTTAAAGATATATAATGATTAAAGTCACCTTTTTCATTTCCATCAGGCTTTGGTTTCCCAAATCAAAGAATATGGCTCCTCATTCGCTAGAGTTGTGTCTGTCAGAAGATATAATATGTAATTAATATAAACAGCAACAAGCATCTAGAATATTTGGTTAAAATGTGTGTTGATGAGCGGTCAGGCTTTACCTGTACTGTTTCCCGTCTGTGGGGGGTTTTGGATTAACTTAGCATAAAAGGGGCTATTTTGACTCGAGACATCTAAATTTATGTCAATAAATGACACTGGTGCGACACAAGTGTACAAAATATTTGAATATTTCAATCATCTTCTATTTGTGAGTTATTATGAGGTGTTTTTTGAATCCCAATGATGAAATGTCTCTATAAATTATAAATAACAAACATAGTTAGTGCACAGAGCCATGATGACACATTTGTTAATTTTTCTTTTTTATCTCAAAATAAAGTTACACTGTGGCGCTAAACACAAAAACACTCCATAACATGGACAGTTAAGTTTAAGGTGGTGGATTTTCTGTAAAAGTGGTCATGACTGTGCCAACGTGATCATGGGATGGCGTATAAATAGCATGCTACTGTTAAGCACAGTTTGCATGCCATGTCAACGCATGTTAAGCTTTTCACAATCGCTTACTTACAGGGGTGTGACGAGATCTCATGCCACGAGATATCGCGACATTAAATTGTGACGAGATATCTCGTCAGGGAAAAAGCTGTCTCACAAGATTAACGCAATTGACATTTTTCACACGCTGTCAAGCCACACGTTCATTCTGTCAGCTGACGCCACACCGGCGTACGCCATGATAGTAATCTACTGAACTGCTCCAGCTGTGAGTTAAGACAGCTTTGACGAGTGGTGACCTAGCTGGTAGAGTTTTGCAACATAAACATCTAAAAACTGAAGCGCAACCTGCTCTGTTTGGGACTGTGAGCTGCACTTTATTGGGGCTGCTGAAGTTAACGTGTGTGGGTTTGTGGTGAGATTTCTGCCTGATCACGCAAGGTTTCACATGCAAAATGCAGTTCCAAACTGCGACGGTCAAACGGGAAAACGTTACTACCAGCGATCAATAATGTAATGCGCAGCAGAGGAAAGGGACGGTTACAGGTAGACTTCTCATCAAATGATAATGTTAGTCTCTTAAAGACTAACGTCACATTAAAACACCCAAATACACTGAAAGCTGAAATCAACGTAAGCATCTTCATTCAACACTCCTTTTCCATTGTCAGCACATTTTAATCAGGGTTATTGGTTTTACATCCAATCAAAGTTGGCATGTTAACAAAGAAATCAGACCATGCAAAAGCAATTTATTGATATTCCCAAAGTTATGGTCTTAAAATAAAATCCTGAGTCCTCAATGTCCGATTTCGAGACGAGACCAAGATCTAAGGTCTTAAGACCCGTCTCGAGTACTACAACACTAGTACAGGCTAAACAGCGTGAAATGACAATGAAAGCACAAAATGCGTTGAAATAAAACGTGAAATGACTTAAGGTATCGGCACGTTATTCATACACCTTTTGATGATATCAGGTTGACTGTGCTATCATCAAAAATAGAGTTGCAACTTGGGAAACAGTTGAAAAATCTTATTTATTGTGCAGAGGAAGGAAGATGTTTTAAAACCAGATGGACAGAAGAGATCTTGAAGAAATTCCCTTAAAGTTGCATTTAGTGTTTCTGGGTTTTCGAAAGACTGGCAGGAACTCGTCTTTCAGGAAATGGTTGCTTGCTCTGAGTTTAACTTTAGATTAGATAGAGATAAAATAAAAATAAAAATCATGTCTTACTATTAGTAGTTTGAGACTCTAATCCATTCATCAGTGCATCATCATAGACATGGTGTCTTCCTTCATTTCCTGCCAATCACAATTGTGAACATCAGAGATTAATGAATGATCAGAGATTAACTGCTTTAAAATCAGGCTGACTGTGATTCTTCTATCTGTGAAAACATGGCTGTATTCAAAGAGCTAGATATGGTGCCACCACTCAGCGTTGCTTCCGGTTTGTCCAAGCAGCTACTGTCACTACTGCAAGATAGATCCTTTACAGCACAAAAAGTGTTTCACCCATAAAACTCCATTATACATTTGTTTTCCCAAGTTTTGTGATCCCAATGCAAAGTCTACCAGGGTAAAATTATAATATTCCTTTGTTTTCTAATTTTTTTTATCATGCTGCGAAGACAGTTTAACATTTTTCAACCAAAAACACATAAACACAGTTCACATAAAGTCCAGGTCTGGTTTATTTACCTTGTCTGTATCTCCTAGTGAACAAGACGATGAGGAGGAGGAGGAGCACGAGGAGGACGATACCTATTCCAAACAACACACCATGAAGTAGTCGCCGGTCTTCAGGAGCAGATGGAAGACAAAGTAAAAACTACTTACCAAATGAAACAGTACATACAGACATAATACATGTCAGGTATACAGCAGTAGAGTTTGGCAACGTCTGGATAAAACTATTTACTTCAGTCTGTACTGTACAATTCATAATTTCTATTTTAGGCTGTTTTATACTTTTATTCCACTATTGTACTTTTAATTGTAGTACAGTTGTTTGGACAGCTGTAGTTACAAAACACTTTTCATATTAAGATTTTATCTCTTTTTGGAACGTGGGCTGGTATATGTAAATTTTGTGGGATGTAAATGTTCTAGCACTTGTTGGCCTTCACCTGTGTTCCGCGGTCTTTTGCATACACAAGATTTACATACGAAGGAGAAAACAATGGAGATTAATGTCAATTTCATGTACTGAACTCTTTTTATTCAACTATGCCGAGGTAAATACAGTTTTCTATTGTAGTACACCTTTAAGCACAATCTCACTCACAGGCGGTCAGAGGTTGATCACTCATCGTTGGCTGAGTGGTGGAAACTGTAGATGTTCCTATAATGATCAGACATATTAGAAACACATTTTAGATTAATTTTGAATCAATACATATATAAATCATTGAATGTTGTAGAGAGTTACATCATTTTCTTTTCATGCTTTTAGGTTGTTTCAGAAAATGTTGAAAATGCAAAAAACTGTGAGAACAATAGAAAATATACAACATCAACTGATTTTTAGTAATAAATCTTAAATCTTTAACACCATGGCCATGCTGAGTGTTCAGATGTGTGAACACTAACAAAGAAACATCCGTTTGACACTGACAGCCATGTTTGTTGTTTGATTTGGCATCGTGCACCTGGAAAGTAGAGGTTGGATGTTGGAAATTTTAGGGGGAAATTCTGACCTCTGACTTTGCTTTGGGGTCAGAACCTGCACATTCTGAATGATTACAACAACAAACTGTTGAGAAAGGCTTTGTTCTACGGCTTAAGTTTTAGTTTTAAGAATAGTTAGAAAATGTCAGTGGGACTTTCATCTTTTTACTTCCCAGAAGTTTCCTTCTCTCTTCAGCTCTCCTTACAGAAATAGATATTACAACATCTTTAATACGTCACAAAATGATTCACAATGATTGAAAAGCGAACTACACCACGTCCATTTTGTTGTGACTCTAAAACCACTCCCCAACTTACTACATATTAACATTGAAAAAAATAAAAAAATAAAAGAATAAACTGAAACATATTCATGCTTTCATTCATACTGAAAATAGAACAACTTTATTAAAGTTTGATGTTACCTGGTGGTGTGATCACCGTCAGCTCCACAGCTGCTTCATTATTACAGAAGTATGTTCCAGTGTCTGAGACAGTAACGTTGCTGATGTGAAGTGACTTATCTGCTGATGAACTGTATCGTTTCAGTGGGTCATGAATGTGTCTTATGTCTCTGTCTCCATCAACTGTAAGTATGTCAACTCTGTTTCCGTTTGTCTCTCTGCTCCACGTCACTTTACCCTCCACAGGGTGAGGACATGGCAGAGTGATGATGGAGTCCTTCGGCCTGATTATTTTATGCTTTTTCTCTGTAAAAGAAAAACATTTTTCATTAAATATGCATGCATTTTAAGAAAAGCAGTATTTCTGTGAGCAACTCTCGGATCTACAGTGTGTTCACGGTAAGACTAATGCAGTGGAAGTGCACATTGAAGAAGGACACTTTTATCAAAATGAACAAACAAAATAAATCCAGAGTTATTTATCTAGAAGGCAAAAGAACATTTTTGAGAGTGTAGGGTCCAAAGTTATAAAATATATTGTTAGACATATTCTAGATTGAGATTCATATGAAGCTTAGCCTTCTGTGGTTCACTTATGAAGCTGCTGTGTGTGACGTTCAGACCTGAAGGTTTTAACATAAACCTAACTGAATCTATTTAGAGAACATCCGCACTAAGCCGGTTTAACTTGGAAATGGCAGTTTTCTCGTCACAAATCGAAGGTTTTCCTAAATCTGTGTGTGGTTGTAAAAGTTAAAAAACCTTTAGTCTCCTCAAACTAACTCTGTGATCGTTTATTCTCAGTGTTCAGCAGCCAAATACACAGCAGAGCTGTTGACATTAACCTGCGTTAAAATTAATATTGAAAAATCATTTTATCAGCAGAGCAGTGGCATGAGCATGATTGCTAGTTAAAATCTTGTGTTTATGGGTTGGGATTCAAGATTTTAAATAATTTGAAAGTTCTTACCTGCGCTGACATTACAGCACAGAACAAAGGCTAACAGGCAGCTGTAGATCTTCATCCTCACACAGACTGAAGTGACTGAACCAACAAACACTGTTTAATTCTGAGAAAAGGATGTGTAAACCGGACATTATTGTCTTTGTCTTCTTGTGGTTAATGCCCACTGATGGTTAAGGTTATTTAAATATAGAGCATGATCAAACTTCCCTCCATTCTGTGCCAGTACAAGAAAGAACCTGAAATAACTGACTAAAAGACAAAGACATGATCACCTTATGAAGCTGTTATAACAAACATGGTAACAAACAGTCGACTACTTCCACAGAGCAACATTAGCATCCCATTGGAGAGGAGTTTGTGTCCATAACAGCTGAAAAAGGCAGAGAGCAGAGATGCTAAACAGGAAAACCACCTTTACACATAGAGAGCTAACCACACTGACAATAACGTCACGATCTAATGATGGCGACCTGTGGGAAAACATCCAGCTTGTTGTTAGCTGAGAACTGCTTGGTGTTTGTCTTTAAACTGGCTGCAAAATGTGACCACAGAAAGATGACTGCATGTCACAGTCTCCTTTTAAGGCATTTGAAGTCCACATGAATACTGTGGAAGAAAGCCAGGAAGCACAGGTGTCATGTATTTTCATCTGTCAAGTTTTTATGTCTAAATTGTTTAACTTTAATAATGGTTTTATTCAAATGAGTCAAAGTGTGCCAATGATTTTGTGGGCTGAAATGACAAATGTTAAT